CATTAAGCAACCTCTGGACCCGACAGCTTACAGACAGGCCCTGAACGGCATTCACAGGGACTCAGTCTCGAGTTATGAAGACTCTAGACCTGTGAATGCCGTTCTAGGCACACCACCCCCGGGCATAGACGAGACGGAGCTTCATCTGCCTCGGGAGACACGCACAACACTCGCACAACTTCGCTCCGGCTACTGCAGCAGGTTGAACTCCTATTTGAGTAGGCTGAATGAGGATGTGCCGAATTAGTGTCCGGCATGCGGAGAGACCCCACATGACTCGAAACATCTCTTCGCATGCCCGGAAAACCCGACAACCCTAACGGCCTTGTCCCTGTGGACAAACCCCGCAGAAGCTGCACGCTTCCTAGGGTTGCCGTTAGTGGAACTTGACGACAACGACTGAGATACCAACCGATCTGGGCGGGGTTTTTGTAGCCGCTACAACAACAACAACAACAACGTCTAGCCACAATCCGCATCAAAGAGAGATTCTTCAATACTCCGACGGAAGAGAAGGACGAGGTGTCCAAGGATCCTTTCTATGTGCGCTTGGAGAGAACATATGAGCGCTGCCCCTGACACGATATAAAAATCGTGCTTGGCGATTTCTATGCCAAGGTGGGCAAGGAAGTGATCTCTGGCGCCACTGTCGAAAACTTAAGCTTCCACGACGAAACGTCCGATAACGGAATGAGGCTGATCCGACTTCGTCGGGGCCCGAAACATGGAAATATGTAGTACTATGTTTCAGCATAAGAAAATCCTCCAAGCTACATGACACCTGAATCTCCACTCAGCCCTTCCTTGGACTGGGGTAACGCAGACGCTTGCAGCTTCTTCTTTCCAGCTTAGGGCTGCTGGCGATCAGTGACCAAGAACTGCCACCTCCTAATCCAGGGTGGAACGCAACACCATGCCCATTGGGCGGTTTGCAGCCAGGAGGGAAAACCGGCTGTATTTTAACGGCGCCTCCTCGACACCGGGCCGCCTCAAGATGTAGCTGTGGCATTACTGCGGCAAGGAGCGCTGTCGCAGCTGACGACCGAGATCCCCAGCAATTACCTAAACCGCTACGCCTGGCAAGTCAGACATGCGGTCGTACGAACAAGATGAATACAACAACTAAAGAACAAAACAACAACAAAAACCAAAACAAGGAACTCTTCATACAACACGCGCTATTGCAGGCACCTTGTCGCTGGTGCGGGGGCTTAGTCGAATCGTCAATCGGTCCTTCCCTGGATTAGGGTAACGCGAATGCACTTGCAGCATCCGCGCTACCCCGACTCAGCTTAGGGCCGCTGGCGGACGGTGACCAAAAACTGCCAGCTTCTAATCCAGGGTGTGACGCGTCACCGTGCCCATTGGACGGTTTGCAGGCAGGAGGGAAAATCGGCTGCATTATAACGGCGCCTTCTCGCCACCGGGCCGCCTCGTGGAATAACTTACCGCGACAAGGAGCGCTGAAGAGGCGGACGACGAGATCCCTCTACTACTATTATACTGCTACGTCTGGCGAGTCAAGCACGCGGTCGTACGAACAAGATGAATGCAACCAAAAATACAAAACCAAAACCAAACCAAAAACAACAAAAAAGCAAAAGAAGAAACCAAAGGAACCAAAGAGGCTACTAAGG